GTTGGTGATTGAGATTTGAGTTCTTTGATCAACTATATGATTACAGTTGATTATTATATATGTTGTATGTATTTCCCTGTGTTTGTAACTGCAATGAATTCCAAACGATGCGCACGTGCACACACACTGTTGTATAGTCACAGCTGTCTGTGGGGTCAGTGTGTCACTTGTGGAATGTGACTGCAAATGAAGCACTGTGTCCTTGCTGCACAGCAGCCCACATGTGCACGCCGAACACACACACACATTTCCATGTATATGCAGTTGGAGAGACGGAGAGTGTCCTTGCACATTATTTTTGCTTCATTTAGCCTCACACAATACTTTATTTAATTCCATTCACACCCTGCTAGTGAAATGGGTCCCAATTAATTTAGACGACATGGCATATTGTCATCAGTGTCATCCAATTATATGTGCATAAAAGATAGAAAATGACAAAATGCAATTAAAAGACATCACCCAGTGTCAGTTGTGTCAAGAAAACGTTGCGTGGGCTCAGCTCTCCCCTAAAATACAAGGAATTAAAATGAATGCTTGGTTAGTGCTTTGTCTGTCAGTGCGGCTTCTTAATTATTTAGGGGGGAAAATGATCCATTTCAGATTGAGTGCATTAAGCTTTCACTTTGAGTTGCTGACATTAAAGCTGTGTGTAGCACTTCATCAGTGGGTTTTTAAAGTCTAACAGATTCAGTCCCTGTCGAGTCAGTTTTGCAGCAGTTTTGTCTAAAACCCAGGCCAAAGTACTGTATGTGGTGTAGGGCAGATTCCACATTAGCCAATACGGGACACTTTAAAAACATCATGGGAGAGTAAAACGTTTGAACTAATTTATAACATAAGTCAACATCTTTTGTATTGGTTGTTGGTAGAATGTCTGCTTCGAAGGATATTATGTTAGTTATGGTCCCATTTAGAGGTAAAGGGATGCTAAAGCACTTTGGGAATGGCTGGCTGTACCACTTAAACATTTTTACATGTCCTCTGTCCAACGTGTTTCCATTAAACTGTACATGATCATACTAGACTTCCTATTGGCTGCATTTTCTAGTGAGTTAAACAAAGTCTTCAGTTTTGGTGTTAGTAGAAAATAGTTACTACAATGAAATTCCAGGTGTTCAGTTTTGTGTTTTTGTGTGTGTTTGTCTTCATGCCTTCTTGTCTATCTCCCTCAGTTTCCTCATCTGACCTGTATATTAAGATAAAATCTGCTGCAAAACCAAAAGCCTGAACTGATCACATTAGTTTCCTAATGCATGGATGTCATGTTTGTGTCTCAAGCTGAACAAATACGTGTGTTCTCGATTATCAAACTCTGTGGACTTTTAAGTCTTTATACATCAACCTTTGAAATAGGATGATTTTTTTTTCATTACACACTTCACAGTAGTTGTTCGAAAATTAAAGTTGCAAAATAACACTCAAGAGAAGCTTAAACCCAAAGCCTACAGACAGAGCAGCGTGCTTTTCAAACAGTTTCTTTTATATAAACAAACTGTTTCTCCAACAGTGATAAAACATTGAAGTTAAAATGTATTTTCTATATATAAAATAAATAAATAAAATACGCTATTCTTCCAACAATGGGGGAATTCACAATGTCATTGCAACCCACACAGGCTGCCATGGGAGGCGCCATTTAGTATGTTCCACCATTTTGGTTCCACTTGTTTTTTTCAGGGGTTTTTGTGTAATTTCTCTCTCTTTGGATCAACATTTATAAAATTATAAAAGTAGGCAGCCCAAGATTGAAAGAAAGCGTGTGACAATGAAAAGAGGTCAATGTTTTTAAATTCCCAGCCTACTGATGCCTCTCAAGGTAAAATGATGTTGATGAAATGTTTGCATAAACACAATCATAAACTTTGTCCAGCTTCTCCAGGCACTCACCAGTTATTGCCCTAATCTGACAGAGGATCAAATTCTTCTCATGAAGTTGAGAAAACCTTTTCCCCAAAGAAGTTGAATTAATGTGAACACATGTTTTTCTTTAAGTGGACTGAAGGACAGGTTTTCATCAGCTAGCTGTTATAAGTGGTGAATACTGAGGCTGCATTAATTGTTGGCAGATTAAAGGCAGATTATTTGCCTGAACCATGAGGAAAGTGCTCCAGGCGTTCAGACTGCAGACGAGACAAAGACGAATCTCTTGAATTGAGGAGAGGTTTAATCAGTTTCGGTTTCAAGTATTGCATTTTATGATAAGTTGTTCTGAAGTTGTAGAAAGTAAAAACAAAGAAGCTATGCTTGTTTGAAAATAACAATTTCATCAAATCATTTTGTGTTTAACTGCCTATGAAAATAGTTTGAATTTAAACTAAAAACCTTGACCTTTGTGAATGACCCTGTCAAATCTTCAACCTGTCATTTCACACTTTTCACACATTTATAATACATTTATAATAAATGTGGGATAAAATCCTGGCTTTTCTTACAAGGTGTTACAACGTAATATACTTTGTAATGTGTACATTCATGCGTCTGGATTTACTGACATTGATCCACGTTACATATATCCAGGTACAAGTACCTCATGGTTCAGTATTCAAGCTCATGCCTTTGACATTTATTCTCCGCACTGCACTTGATCCAGAATATGTTTAATATGGAACAGTTATTTATATATATACACAAACACACACACACATATATATATATATATATATATATAGGTCAGAGTTTGGACACATGCTTGGATAGTTAAATAGGATTGAGGAGCTGCAGCCACACACATACACAAAGACCAACACAGATTCCTGCAGGGTGAGGACAGCAGGCACGGATGTGAGCTCCATGTTAAGGACGTGCTGTGTATAAATGTGACCATTTGGAAAAAGTCTTTGGAGGTGTGTGTGTGTGTAGTCAGAGTGCCAACACTAATAAATCAGCTGAGGACAGACCTGAACGGTCACCAGGTTTCATCTGATCAGGCAGGTGGACCATAGGATGGACACACACACACACAACCACACAGAAGCAATTATCAAAAGAAATAGTTTTATTATTTAAATAAGTATACTGTACTGATTGTGGAATAATATAAAATAAACTAAATAAATATATAGTTTGTTGGATAATAAAAATCAGCTCAAAAGGTAAAAAACTAGCTAAATTTGTTTTTTTATAATTCTGAACTTAGACCAGAAGCTATCTGAACATTGTATTACATTTAGTAAAAACATGAAGCCACACACACACACACACACACACACACACACACAACCGTTAGCTTCCTGTGTAAAATGTAACAGTAGCATTATCCACAGCTAAAACAAGCTTCAGAAGCATAATCAACATGTGATTTCTATTTGAACTAATCAATATATTAGTATGTATTTTTTATATATGTATTTTGATAAAATGAACTCTTCTGGCTGTTGCTGTGGAGCCACTGGTTCTTAACATCCTCGGCTTGGTTCACTTTCTACCACCAGAAACTGTGCTCTGTGTGCTGCTTCTGTGCATCTGTAGAGAAGAATGGCCGTGTGTGGGGCGAGCAGTCTGTTTTATGTCAATTGTGTTTATGAGAGTGTGTGTGATGAAGTCAGCAGAGTCAGGAAAAGCCTGCAGAAAATGCCTTTGACCAATGAGTGCATATGCTTACATTGTGCCTGTGGGTGTGTGCGTCTGTGTGTGTGTGTGTGTGTGTGTGTCCTATGTGAGAACAGTGATTGCTTTGTGTTGATTGCACAGACAATAGGCTGGTCACTGTAACTGTAATCATGGCTGGGCTGCAGAAAAAAGATGCATTTCACAAAAACGTTGAGTGGCTGAGAGAAGAGGGTGGTGATGATGACGTGTGTGTATGTGTGTGTGTGTGTGTTTCTGGATTACATGGAACTCTCACAGGTCTTACTAAAATGAACATACAGATATAAAAAGACCTTGACCAAAGTAATCAAGGTTTCAAGGACCTTTGTTGTCAGACCAAACCTGATTGTGAGTTCAAGCACCAGGATATGGATTGTGAAAGTGGCATTTGAACATGTGAGGAAGTTAATACAACTGACCTAAGGGAATACAAACATTACATATCGAATATTTATTGACATGTTATACAATACTATATACGTATATTGTACTATATCTGCAACATATATTTTAAAACTGGTTACAAAGGGTGTTATGGGAAAGATTATTGGGTGCATATAAGTACCTCGTCCTCAAGGTACCTTTTGAAAAATGAATTTAATCGAACTCAACTGACACGTTTGGCCTTCAATAAAGATTTACTGACAACTTCCTGAACCTAGTGCCAATATAACCTACAGTTAAAGAACATGCTGCAGATCTAAAACTGGTAACCAGTACAGTTTTGGAGTGTCTTTGAATCCTTATAGGTGACTGTCTGTTCTGTTTGAGTTAAACCAGTCCTCTCTCTCTCTCTCTCTCTCTCTCCCTCTCTCCCCCTTCTTTGAAAGGAGTCCTGTATTTCTCTGCTCTGTTGGCCTGTTGTAAATATCAGGTAGAACTCTCCCTGCAGCCCTGTTGGTAACTTATGGATGTGTACCTGCTCTCTCAAAGCTGCACATCACTGCCTCACCTTGTGTAACATAACTCTCTCTGGACAGACCTGTGTTTTATGCACATAATAATAAAGAATACATCTGCATGTTTTCATACATTAACTCATCTGTAAGTTTGTTTAGTGTGTGTCTGTGCGCTTTCTCCGTTGAATCTTTTAATACCTGCAGACAATCGATACACAGGGGAGCAATATTTGGCCCCGTCCTCCTTTAAAAGATGCACTCCATGAAGTGGTGTGAGTCTGAGTGGAGAAGTCAATAACGCAAAGGCAACAGTGGCCTCATCTGTTTTTTTTTAAACTGCAACAGTGAGGCCTGTGAGTCTGGGTCTGTGGGCGTATATTAAATTTCTTGTCATTTCAATAAAAACAAATGGATCTGTTTTGTGAGCTCAGCGGAAGTGGAGAACACCAGTGTATGAATATACAGACATCAGTGTTTACCAAGTCCTGTCTGTGTGTGTTTGTTTTTCAGGGCTGGCAGCAGACAAGGCTGAGGATCAAGAGATGAGATTATAAAGCACAGAAGTGTGGAGAGAGGTGGAAGACAATAGCTCGTCAAAAACTCTATTTTTGTTTCATTTCTGCCTTAAGTTCTACGAGGCACTGACTGACCCTGCACAGGATTACAGTCAAAAATACCCACCAATACCAACACACTCTCTCATCACTTCCCCTCACTACCATGTCCTCCCACCCGAGCCCATCCCTTCCAGTCCTCCCCATCTTCTCTCTGCTCCTGTCCCTTTCTACCTCAACTTTCTCCTCCCCCACGTCCATCCCCCTTCTCTCCTTTTCCCCACCTGAAGGAGGCCTCACACACTTGGTAGTGCACAACAAAACTGGTGAGGTCTACCTGGGTGCTGTCAACTGGATCTACAAGCTCTCCAGCAACCTCACCAAACTGCGGAGTCATGTAACCGGGCCTGTGACGGACAACCCCCGCTGTTACCCTCCTCCTGGTGTCCAGTCCTGCCCCCATGAACTGGTGCAAACCTCTAATGTGAACAAACTCCTGCTACTTGATGCCGCCCACAACCGCCTGATTGCCTGTGGGAGTACTTCCCAGGGAATATGTCAGTTCTTGCGTCTGGATGACTTGTTCAAACTCGGTGAGCCCCATCACCGTAAAGAGCACTACCTATCCAGTGTGGCTGAAGCAGGAACCATGTCAGGTGTCGTGATCGCCCCTGATATTTTTGGTGAAGGTGGGAAGCTGTTTGTCGGCACACCAATTGACGGGAAATCAGAGTACTTCCCAACCCTGTCCAGTCGCAAGTTGATGTCCAATGAGGAGAATGCAGACATGTTCAACTTTGTCTACCAGGACGAGTTTGTTTCCTCGCAGCTGAAGATTCCTTCTGACACTCTGTCCAAATTCCCTGCCTTTGACATTTACTACATCTATGGCTTCAACAGCGAGCAGTTTGTTTATTACCTCACCCTTCAGCTCGACACCCAGCTCACCTCTCCCGATTCGAGCAGCGAACAGTTCTTCACCTCGAAGATTGTCCGACTATGTGTCGATGATCCCAAGTTCTACTCCTACGTAGAATTCCCCATTGGCTGCACCAAGGACGGAGTGGAATACCGCTTGGTTCAGGATGCTTACATAACCCGGCCGGGAACCCATTTGGCACGTTCTCTTGGTATTTCAGAGCGGGAAGAGGTTCTGTTCACTGTTTTTGCACAGGGTCAGAAGAACAGAGCCAAACCGCCCAAGGAGTCGGCTTTGTGTTTGTTCACAATGAAGCGGATAAAGGAGAAGATTAAAGAGAGAATTCAGTCATGCTACAAAGGAGAGGGGAAGCTGTCCCTACCCTGGCTGCTCAACAAGGAGCTGGCTTGTATCAACTCGGTGAGTGTCCCTTTACATTAACTTATTTAAAGCCATTATAGCTTATTTTGAATAAGCTTGTTAGCTGTACTGTATAACAGACCTTTTCAGTGGTTAGCAGTGGTGCCCTGTATGAAGAATATATAGTATTTAAATATTTTAGAATTTCTTTTATGTTTTTTTTTTGTTTTTTGTACAATGTGAAGATGTACAGTAGGGTAGTGTGAATTTATTCACAGACCTGTACAATTATTAATCATTTATTGATTTTTTAAATATATTCTTTATACATTTCATTTTTAATTTTAATTTTTTTTTTAGTTCTATTGGGTCTTAAAAAGCGTCAACAAATCTGCTTGTCTTTGTCTAACTTTGTCCTGCCTCTTGGTCCACCGTAAGCTTAACAGAACCATAACTACCAGCACCGTTAAATTAATTTCAGTAACCATTAATTTAAATGAACCGTTTTTCTTTCGAGGTAAACCCAGAGTTACGTGAGCCCTAGGTTGTTTACCATTGTGAACTTTTAAAACAGTTCTTTCACTTTTACCACAGAGCTGCTCCTGGTGCCTGGAATAATAGGTGTTAGTTTTAGTGAGCTGGTGTGGCTGTGGCTGAATAGCACTTGGACTGGCTGCCTGTACATTGCACCTTGCCAAATGCATTTTAGCGGTTTTGGGTGTAGGCTATGTTAAATCCTGAGCACGTCTGGAAAACGTTTGCTGTATTTATTCACTGAGTAGGTGAAAATGCTGACAGTTGTTTGATTCTTAGTGACCTACAATGAGTAGTTCTTTGATTTCCTATTGATTTTAAGAGGTAGAGCTAGAGAATTAGTGGCATTTACCTGAATGTGAATAAGATGTATTCACGATTTAAGCTCAAGCATGGCACACATGCCTTCAGTGGTTTTTTGAGAATTCTTCCTGTTTCTAGAAGTATAATCAAAGTAAAGAGATAAATGTTTTGGAGTTGAACAAGTTTGGAGATTGAGTTTCCCATTGAGTTCTAGGACTGTCACTTTTTAAAATTTTGAATTTAAGTATTTAAGTAAACTATCTACAAAAATACTGCATAAGACAATATGGGTTATTGTGACCACTCATTAAATCTCCTCCTGATCCAAAATTAAAAACCTGTTGCTAGTTGGCTATTCTGCTGTTGGCAAGCAAGTCAAAATTGCCAAACTGGAACCCCACTCGTGCCTTTGTGCCTGCTCAATAAGAGTGGGTAGTACCCGATGGACTTTGTGTATGTTCTGGGTTATAACATGTGACATGGTAAATACTAGGTCCTGAAATGTCTTGCATGCAATAAAAATATTTGTTTGAATTAGATTTTAGGAATAAAGTGACAGCCCTCCTGTTCCTGTCGTCTTCCTGTTGCTCACATTCTCTTTCTGTCTCCTTTTCTACACACAATCTTTCTCTCTCACACACACACACATTGAAAAACCTTCGTAACCTTATAAATAATTCACATGGTCTCACCTTCTGTTATTCAGCCCGTGCTCCATAACAACCTGCCATAAATCTGTGGAACTCTCTCCACCTCTGTCTCCCTGACTCTCTTCCATCCCATCCTTTTCCCTTCCTTTTCCTTGTCGCTCACTCCTCTGTCATCATTTGCATATGATTTCTTTCATTTAGATAACCCATTGTCCCTTTGCTGGTCGTTTATATCTTCATGCTCCAGTTCACTCTATTCCCCCCAACCTTCCTTCGGACCTTTTCTTCTGAAATTTTAACCTTTTAACCCCCTTCATTTTCATATTCTTGCTTGTTTTGTTCCTCTCTCCTCTGCTTCACTCATGCATTTTCTCTTCTGCCATTCCCCCCCTGCCCTTTCCTTGACTTTCGGCTGAGTGATGAGGTATTGAGTGACTTAGTGTGTAAAGCCAGTCCCTGGATGTGATCTGGAAATACAATGTGAAAAAACAGACAATGCAATGAAAAGGGAAAAGCAGAGTGACAGGGAATATTACAGACCCAGGTCTCAGAGGACCACAGGGATAAACCCCACACTAACTTAATAATGTTGTGCAGACTTCCCCGTGTCTCTGACATAATATTGGCAAATTCACAGGGATCCTCTGGCCTTCTGATATTACAATTACTGCAAAGTTTACTTCTGTGATCAAGGTCTGTGGTCAATCCAATGCCTTACGGAAAAATCGTTGGTTATTTGGCTTCACTGTAATCGTAAAAACACTATTTTTTCACACACAAAAAAAGGCAAACTAAAAGACATGACCATTTGCCTAATTGTTTTTGCTTTTAAAACCAACATAGGTTATATGATCAAGAAAAATGGGCCAGTGTTTGTTTGTTTCTCCATCTCTGGTTTGGCAATAGAACCAGTGTTGGTGTTTTAGCTGGCAAAATGTAACTGTTATCTTTTCATTTGGGGATAATCCCTCTAATCCTGCATTCACATTCTACAAGAAAAAATGTGTAAATAAAAAAGGTGCCGCTTAAATACTCAAGAGTGGTTTTTAGCTTTTTCTTAAATATTAAAGTTATATTTTCTCTGTGTGCAGAGGTAATAACAGTGGGTGGACAAACACTAACACAAAGAACAGGGATGCTTCTCTTACTGTAGAACTCTTATTATTTTATTTCTAACATTTTTTTGCTTGCCAACAGCAAAATCTGTTCTTGGATCAGTTAAGTGACATCATTAAGTTGATTGGTTAAGATATAGGTTTACTCCAGTAAATACACTTGTATTTACTTACATACCAATGAGTGACTCGAAAAAAAAATGACAAATTGCATTTGAATATGACAAAGTAAAGGTGCCTAATCCATACAATAAACACATCAGAAATATTTTATATTGGCCATATCAAAAATCCATACACTAAACACATCAGAAATATTTTATATTGGTAAAACAAGACATTATCGTAAAATTTGTGTCTCTAAATACTTTTGGAGACCTATTATAAATTTGTATAATAATGTATATCTATTTTTGTTTACATATTACAATTTGATATTCTGCAGGTTCACGTTGCACCATATAAGTAGAAACATCTGGAAACAGGATAAACAACCTGTCACAGAAATGAGAGCTCAGACGCCATGACACAAACTGTCTGCCTGTCTGATTTGCCTCATTGAGGTTGAGTCCTAGTTAATCTGGTTCAGCGGGAACAGTGTTTTCTGGATGAAATGAACCAGTCCCAGCATGTTATTCCTATAGCTGCTAATTAAACATTCCCCCTAAACATGTAACACTTTCTACAAGACAATGACAACATTACCTCTTTGTCACTTACCCACTGCTGCTGTCTGAGCACCATGTGGCCTTGTTGTGCCTTTTTTGTTTTACTGTATGTGCATGTGATTATGCTAATTGGCGTGGAGTCACGTGACTGTCCTTATGGCCATCTGTCGTTCTGCTTGCGATCGATCAAGGTCACGTCGGCAGCGCCCGCTGCAGGACGTCGCTTGTGATGAATTTATCATCCTCCCGTACGGACATGTTCAATGTTTCCTGACGAGAGCAGGGTGACAGCTCGTTGCCTCCATGTGGGTGTCATGTGGAACCTTTCATAGTGGCTCATTTTCAGGAGACAAGGTCGAGTCAGTCAGTCAGTCAGTCGACTGACACACTTTACCTGGAACCTCTCAAACTTCATCACACTCACACTCACAGCATTTACAAAATCTGGATTTCTTTTATGTTTCAAAACTTTATTTTTTGACGTTTTTTATCGCAGGGAGAATTATAAATGTTTCAACAATTAAATCAAAATATGTAACTGCTGCATCAATCTTTGGAATTGACTCACCATTTGTAGCAGGATTATATATTTGGAATTTATGGTGTGTTTTAAAAACCTGCATAAAATCAGGCCAGGTCTCATTTCTTTTTTTTTTCTTTTTCTTTTTTAAATTTTGCTGTTACTCTGGGACTACAAATCATACCAAGAAGAATATTTACAGTGTGTGTCAGAAAAATCCATTCTTTGTGGATGGTATGAACACATGCTCATCAAATATCGTCTTCTCCTGTTTCAGTCATGGCAAAAAGTCTAAGACTGGTGTTGTTCAGGCAGAGAAAATATATACAAATTTAAAAACATGAAGAAAGCAACTGTATATGACAGACCAAATGCAAATGATTTTGAGAAACCTAGAATATATGTTGGCAGACATATAATACATCATACTCCTATTGTACTTTAAGCGCTGTAGACTCTTCATCAAAAATCTCTCCAAAAAGCATTAAAATAACAGTATCCACAGAGAAGGACGAGGCTCCTGATGCAGATCAAAGTCGGTGCATCTTTGTGAAACCTCATTATAAAGGAGGAGAGCCATTATTGGAGTCACAGGAGTTAAACCTGAGTTCTGTGGGACAATCACTGGCTGTGAGCTAACATCCAGTTCCACAGTTCTGTATGCTAGCTGACCAGGCCACACTGAGGGCCTTAGAATCAATAATGAGAGAGAGAGAGAGAGAGAGAGAGAGAGATGCTATCCTCCCTGTGTACTTTGTTGATTTTTAAGACTGGCCACATTTCCTTCCCTGTGCATTTCTTGTTCTCTGATTGGACAGTTATTTGCATCTGTGGCCTCCCTGTTGTTGTTGGTCTCTGAAGGAACAATGGCCAAACCAAAGAGCCATTTAGGCTGATAATAACATCCGTGTGTGTGGCTATGGGAGTGCTCATTGTCTGAAAATACACTTCACTAAAATATTTCAAAGATCGTTATTGATATCTTTTGTGCTTCTGTCCCTCCTGCCATGTTCTGCCTGTGTGTTCCACAGTTTATAATAGCAGTTATTAATATGTATCAGGGTTGATCACTGGTGGACAGAATTACAGTCTACTTCTATGGGGTTTTGTCTACTTCATTCTCTTCCACTGATCTTACTGCCAGTGTGCTGTGCCTTATTGGTCTGTGCCTTATTGGTCTGTGCCTTATTGGTCTGTCCATTGAAACTGTGCGTGACGACCTGGCTCTGTAGAAGCAAATACATGATGGCCCACCAACACAGTACATTCC